CCCTACATACGGTTTAGTCTTTCTCCTCCACAGCCCAGGTTGACATGCTTGTGATGTTTATTGTTCCAGAATCTTATTGTCATTACAATGTCACAGCTACAGAGCAACGAAATTAACTGTCTGTATTTAACCCATCCCCTTTGGGGAGCGATGGGCTGCCTTCGTGGGTCGCCCGGGGAGCAGTGTGGGGGTTAAGGGTCTTTACTCAGGGACAAGAGTGGCAGTCTGTGGAAGTGGAGCTCGAACTCAGAACCTCAGGATTCCTCAACGCCCTAACCACTAGGCCGCCACTCCCCAAAGCAGGCATCAGCGTGTCTTTCTTAAGGGCCCATTCTGGCAGCTCATTCCCCCCTGCTGGGATGCAATATTTGTATCTCTGGCTACGTCTGTGTGTGGTGGCTCTAGATTGGAAGCTCTGATTCAAGGTGGAGTTCAGACATCTTGAATTTCTCCCAAATGCTTAAGTGGCATCTACTTCAATGTTCTCTTAAAGCTGTTGTTATCCTCTTTGCCCATTAACTTTTCCTTCCACTCAACTTTCCATTTATATTATGTATATTGCACTCTAAAAGTGAGATGAGGGGTTAGTTTGGAAGGTGTCAACGACTGAAAAAAAAAAAAAAACTTTTCAATTACATTCTAATTTATTAAGATTCTTCTATAAAGCATGGAGGGGATGATTTAATACAATCTACTGGATTCCTTTGATATAACTTTTAAAGCTTGAATCTGAATGAGGTTGGATTAAATAAACATTGTTATATGAAGCGCAGGGTTTTCCAGAAACCAACACAATGATTAAATGCCTACAAACAATGCTCAGGCCCTACAGTATGAGATCCCAGTATTACAAAAGCTGTGTTGCGTGTCAGCCTGTTTGCATTTCAACCCTGGCAGGAGTCGCAGGCTGACATGCAAAAATAATTACAGACATGTTGATTCTGGCAGCGTTTCCAGATCTGACACACACGGTGTTACAATACAGCCCTTCCTCTCAATCAAAACAACACAAAACTTTGACTTAGGACAAGTTCAGACAAGTAAAGAGGATCTATTTAATGCAGTCACACATCAGACTATGTAGGCTTGGGCCACAATGATGTGATTCAAAGGATTTCAAAGCTGATTATGGCTGCACAATGTTTAATGGCAATACTATAATTATTTTAAGGAAGCAATTCATTACAATCATTTTTTTATGTATTTTCTAATCTTTACTTGCCTTTTCTTTATCACAATGTCACCGGTGACATTATTTTTGGTGAACTTTAACATACAGTGAGGAAAATAAGTATTTGTACACCCTGCTATTTTGCAAGTTCTCCCATTTAGAAATCATGGAATTTCCATTGTAGGTGGATGTCCACTTTGGGAAACATAATCTAAAAATAAAAATCCTGTACTCACAATATATGATTTTTCTAACTATGTATTTGTATGATTCAGCTGCAAATAAGTTCTTGAACACCTGTCTATTAAATAGAATTCTGACCCTCACTCCATTTATTATCCTAAATTAGATGCACCTGTTTGAAGTCGTTAGCTGCATAAAGACACCTGTCCACCCCATACAATCAATAAGGATCCAACTACTAACATGGCCAAGACCAAAGAGCTGTCCAAAGACAGTAGAGACTAAATTGTGCACCTCTACAAGGCTGGAAAGTGCTATGGGGAAATGGCCAAGATGCACTGTGAAAAAAGGTCCACTGTTGGAGCAATGCCTGAAAAAATTCAGTTTAGGCAACTGGACGTGAAGCTCTCTCAAAGACGTTTCACCTCTAATCCAAGAGGCTTCTTCAGTTCTAACTAGTGGGTCTAACAAAGAATAAGGAACGGGCACATGACGTCACACGTTGCGCGGCAGCCATATTGAAAGCTGGTCAGCCCATTGTTTACACTTTGACTTCGCGCCTGTAAGGACTAGCTTTCTTCTGCTAGTAGTTTGCTTAGTTTTTTGCCGTTTCATTTTACCTCTGCTGTCGTTATGGTCACCCGTTGCTGTGTCGTAGGGTGTAGTAGCGCAAGCTGTGACTGGACGGGGAAAAAAATCCCAAATGGATTGTCTTTTTACCGTTTTCCAACCTGGAGGCGTCTCAATGGAAAACAAATGTCCTCCATAACAAAGAGTCGCCGGCTAGCATGGGTCGCTGCTGTAAGACGGCCAAATATAACTTTCAACTCAATCCCTGTGTCCATGAGAGTGTGTTCCCGGCATTTTCATTCTGGTAAGTTACAGAACATACTGTTTTTATTCATGTATCATTTCAAGTTAACCGTTGTTGGCTGATCTGTAGCATGTAGCATGAGCTGAAGTAGGGTTGTGTTCCAGAGGGTTAGCCAGGTCCACTGAAACACAAAACAGTTGTCCTACTCTGTTTATTTTGTCATTAATAGTTTATAATAGGGTTAATAGTTTTGGTTGTTTCACCAGGAAAGCCAGTAGATGCAATGTACACCTCCCATACGTTAGTGCCAGCACCTAGTCTTATCACCACAACAAACACCACACCATGTTGAGACGGTAGCTTACCTTGGCTCTGATGACTGTGTTCTCATTCGGTTTGATTACTTCCATGTCATGAACTTTTCCATCTGTCAGCTGTTTGTAAGCCTCTAGCGACTTGTAGCAGCGAAACTCTTCATGTGTGTAGGCACTGACGCCACACACTAGATAGGAAAATATGTCCTCCCTCGCAAACGGCGGTAGAAATTCTTCCCCAACGCACCACTCCTTGCTTTCTACTTCGTAGGGATCAAGTCCGTTTATGAAGCCCATCTTTTGCAGATAACGGTCCCTGGCTTCCCTCTGCAGTGTGTCTCGGTATATTCCGCATCCTTTCTTCGCTTTTAACATCGCTGTTTACTCGTCTTTGTGCTCTTTCTCTGTGCTGTTTTAGGTCTTTGTTTACCGTAGCAACTAGCTGCCAATATGGCGGCGTACCCAGAATGCAACGCGCTGTGCCCGTCCCTTATAAGGGGGGACAGAAGGTTTGATCCCTCCCACTGGATTGGCCAAGCAGGTCACATGGGAGGTGTTAATGGTCATTAGGGGGTTCTGATGGGTCGTTAACTCCCTCGTCAAGGTGTTTTTGTTCACATGCCTCATTGAAGTGTGAGTTAGGTGAGGGCGACTGGAAGGTGAATCTTCTGAGTAAAGTTCCTAAAAGTGCTTTGTAGGTGGGTGAAAGGTTATGTCTAGAACCACCTCCTCCATAAGACGTCATGGTTTGAAATCACGCACGGCACGGAAGGTTCCCCTGCTTAAACCAGCACATTTCAAGGCCTGTCTTAAGTTTGCCAATGACCATTTGGATGATCCAGAGGATTCATGGGAGAAAGTCATGTGATCAGATTAGACCAAAATAGAACTTTCTGTTCATAATTCCACGAACAGTGTTTGGAGGAAGAAGAATGGAGTACTGTCATTCTTTGCAGGTGTTTTTCTGCATATGGAACAGAATCACTGCACTGTATTAAGGGAGGATGACCGGGGCTATGTATTGAAAGATTCTGGGGAACAACCTCCTTCCCTCCTGCAGTGTGTGCAAAACTGGTGAAAGACTACAGGAAACTTTTGAACTCTGGACTTGCAAGGCTACTGTACCAAATATCAACATTGTTTTTTTTTCAGGTGTTCAAATACTTATTTGCAGCTGTATCATACAAATAAATAGCTTTAAAAAAAATCATACATTGTGATATTTTTTTGTTATTTTTTTTTTGTTTGTTTTTTTGTGGGGGTGGGGGTGGGGGTGGGGGGGGGGGGGGGTTATGTCTTCACAGGGGACATGCACCTACGATGACAATTTATACCCCTGCATGATTTCTACTCAGGAGAACTTGCAAAATAGCAGGGTGTTCAAATACTTATTTTCCTCACTGTATAAGTCAATAAAAATAGGTCAGATATACATCCCCACTAAGTCATAGCTATAGACCCAGCTCCTAAACCAACTATGAGAATCGATTAATGGTGATATTTTTTTATCGTCCAATTAGAATCTGTCTTTAATGCGTCACATTGCATAATATGGGTGTATGTAAAGCCAGGAGTCTCAACTAAATGTTATGATTTCATTTATTATGATTTCATAACTGTAATAAAAATTTTGGATTTAGAATGCAGTATAACACAAGAAGATAACGCAATGAGGATTTTGATGAAATATATTTTGTAGATTTTGGATTTGTTTTATTCCCCAATAAACCCCTCCTGAAAAAGACAGAGGCTATCATTAATCTTTCCTAAAAACAATAATCCTTTACAACATAAAAAAAAACCCTGCAGGGATTATTTCAACATACTTTCTTTACCTCTGTCTGACACGTTGCCCAAGGACTCAATTCTTAAAAGGCACAACACTGCTCTTTAAAACTATACATCAATTTAGTTGCAAGGGAATATTTAAATCATGAAAAACAAATTGCAGTAATAAGCTTGCATGGAAGCAAGAAAACAGCATCACCTAAAAGAAAAAATGATTTTTTTCAATAGCCTAGATGCTATATATTAAGAAATAAGAACTAGAGCAAACTGCACTAAATCTGAACTCTAGTGAGCTAATTAATTATTTTGTTATGCACCTTGATAACTGATGAAGTTAAACGGTCTTCTAGATCAGTGGCTCTCAACCTTTTTCAGGTCACCTCCCCCATTTCTACTATCTACATCCCTTACTGCCCCCCATCAGGAAGATGAAGGCTTCTTGCACCAAACATTATTAATTGCTATTAATATTATTTTTGGTAGTGTTATTATTAGTAGGAGTTTATTGATAGAAATTAAAGCTAGTTTCACTCCGACTGACAATAGACTGATTATGAGGGGACACAGCAGGAAAGGGGCAATGACCGAGTTGAGTGTATAATGCCAAAAAAACCCACCACCAACCAACACCCAGATCCCTGTACAATGCCAAGGGATGCTTTACCAAGTATTTCCCAAACTGGGTAATCGGCAATTAACACTGATATTACTGCTCAGCATAAATACTCACACATTTGTCACTTGATTCTGATGGAAGTGAACTGTTAAGCAATGAAGATTGAGGGAGGCTGCACAGCTCTGGAAAAGGGTTTGGTATGGGGGACACAAAGGGAGACAAAAATTCACCTCCTTTCTTCCTAAAAGATAAAAAAAAAATGAAATCAATAAAACAACAATAGACATGAAAAATAAAACCAAACTTAAAACTAATTTAAATCATATTCTTATTTTTTTTTTTTACTTTCTTTTGAGATAGTAAAACAATTGATACACAGTATATTTTGAAGTGTTAAAGAAACACTTTAAGACTGCATTGAGTGCCACTCGGAATTAGTGTTAAATTAGAACTCTACGTAGTGCATATTTTATTTACTCCAGTTATTGTTGTAATAACTCTAAAAGAGTCAATGTACATTGAGACTGCACATTCAATACTGTGGAATTTACTGTGTAGAAAAAGTTATATTACCAAGCATGTTATCAAAGTTGTTTACCTATATGCTACATTTTGGAAAGGAAGCACCATTGAACACACTGGTCACTTAAAAGCTGGGAGAGGAGAGGATTAATAAGATCAGCAGGGAACACTCCCATATTAACTCTGGGGGAGCTGCAGAGATCCAAGGCTTATTTAGGAAAACATGATGAAAAGGGCAAGTATCCATGCAAAACAAAGGAAACAACAGAAAGGTGAGGATCCGGGTGAAAGAGAACTATGGCTGTAGTTTTGTCTAAATCATGCATGGAGATAGTAAACATGTGGAAGATTATGGTTTAAAACTCTTTGACCAAACCCATATTATGCCTGAATCTGATACATCAACATCAGCTTCATTGATGTACATCGGCTCCTCTCCAGTAAAGAACTTTTTAACCGTGTAGAGGTTCCACTACCTCCACAGAAAGAGGCTTACCTGTTGAGTCAGCACCCAGAACCTCCTCCAGAAGCCCAGTGACTCACAGCCAGCCTGTTGTTGGTGCTACCAGAGTGTGTGCGCCTGCAGGTCCTACCTGCTTGAGATAATTGAGATGGGCTGGGAGCGGCGGACAGGCGGTGACTCAGGTACCAGAGGAGTCAGGGTTAAAGTGGAGCAGCCCAGTGACACCTCTTCCCCAGCTGAGGAATCCTTCATCGAGGAGTCCTCCATATCTTTCCCAGAGGTTTCTGCAGCCTTCTTCCTGTTGATTACAAAACAGGAGGAAATCAGTTTATCCGGACGCAGTGGAAATGTACATGCAAATACTTTGTTGAGGCTCTATTTATCTATTTATAATTTCATCATATGGTGAGTGTACGGAGATATATAAGATGTGCGCTTTAAATACTGTAGAACTTTTCCTCAAATTGCTTCATTTGTCTTTAAGAACTTTTTTTATTTTGCTTTTGAATGAGAATAAACAAATTATCCATAATACTGTGAAACCAAAACTTTTACCACCCCTACAGGCAGATATTTAGTAAACACTGGAACAAAAAATTTAATCCAGCAATCTGTAGCATACTAATCCTTCATTAATTGAGATATCAATTAGTAGTCAATAGTCATTCACCACTACATTTATAAACCCATTAATCCTTGCATTTAATAAGGCAACCTTATATATATATATATATATATATATATATATATATATATATATATATATATATATATATATATATATATATATATATATATATATATATATATATATATATATATATATATATATATCTTCTATAGATACATCCATCTATAACCCATCTCCGAAACATATTAATCTATTCATTATCAATCTATCTAATCTATATTTCATCCAATCCATACTTTTAGGATAAATCTCCCTATCCATGCTTGCATCCTTCTTTAAATCCTGAATTGGTCGATACCTGCATTGAGTTATTCAACCATCTTTCTATGAATTCATCAATGCATCCTTCCATCCCTGCCTTTATTAATGCATCCTTCTCTTCATTCCTCCATGGATCAATCCACCCGTTGCTTGGTCACTAAAGATCTTAATTAAAAGTTGGTATCAAGATATTTTTCCGGGCCACTGAAAAAAAAAATGTAACTGATTTTTAAATATTATTTAAGTTGAATATAGGAATAAATTCAGAATTCTGACTTTAATCTCAGGATTCTGACTTTTTTCTCAGAAATTTGATTTTAATCTCAGAATTCAGACTTAATGTAGATGGGCACCATGAAGGAAGAGATGTGGAAGCACTCAGCTTCACTGACAAAGACAAAGTGGGTTGTTTGAAAGGGCCAGTGACACATTGGTGAAAAATGTCGTAATAAGGCGACTTTTTACGTGCAATGGAGGACCAGAAGGTCATTAAAACAAGAGAGCTAGTCTCTAAAACAGACAGGGCCATGGCTTGTTGCTAACATGTTTGTTAGCTGTCAGAATCCTGAGATTAAAGTAAGAATTTTGAGATTAAAGTCGGTATTCTGAGATCAAATTCGGAATTCTGAGATCAAAGTCGGAATTCTGTAATTTAAGTCAGAATTCTGAGACAGAAAATCAGAATTCTGAGAAAAAAGTCAGGATTCTGAGATTAAAGTCAGGATTATGAGATGAAAGTCAGAATTCTGAGATTAAAGTCAGACTTCTGAGATTAAAGTCAGACTTATGAGATTAAAGTCAGACTTCTCAGAGAAAAGTCAAAATTCTGAGATTAGAGTCAAACTTCGGAGAAAAAAGTCGGAATTCTGAGGAAAAAAAGTCAGACTTCTGAGATCTGAGAGAATTCTGAGATCAGAGACAAAATTCTGAGATCAGAGACAGAATTCTGACTTTTTTTTTTCTTATATTATACCGAAATAAAATTTAAAAATCTGTTACATTTTTTAATGTTCTCAGTAGCTCTAATTCTCTTCCGTATATTTTATTTTTGACTGTTCAAAACCCTTTTTATTTTACAGCCATAAAATTTCCCCGGGCTTTTTTTAATAGACCGGTTGGCATCTCTCATGTTGTTGCCGCTGATTACGTGAAACCAGGAAGGTAGTAAATCTCAGGCTTTAACAAGCAGCGCTACAGGAACAACAGCACGGTTGGTTTCTGTGTTTTTGTTTCTCAAAATAGACTCATGTGGCAGCGAGCCAAAAAAAAAAAGACTGAACAGAAATCCTACAAACACGCAATATGACACGCGAAGACATGAATACACAAAAAAAAATCTGAATCGATAAGGAATATATGTTATAAATATAATTAAACTGATTGCATAGATGAAATGTAAATAAAGCAATGGAGTTTGTCAATTACATATTAAAATCAAACCAAAGCCCTCCTTTTGATGATAAATAAACACCTGTTTATTAAAACAGTCTCGCAGTCTGACTGAGCAAAAACCTAAACAGTACTAAAATGTCACTTCTTTCCCAGTCCAGAGCCATTAAGGCGCCGTCTCTGTCTTCAAAACAATGAAGTTTAACCCGGATCTCACCTGTATCTCTGTGGGTTCCACCTGAGCTTCTACCTGCGCGCTAAACGCCGCGTCTCTCGGCGGGTTTCTGCCATCTGGCTCTGCCTCTGAACTCAGACACTTTGCGTCATGTTGCTTTTTCCGAAGTAGGTAAAAACCCGATGCCGTGAGTGCGGAAAGGTGACAGCAGCGTGCGTAGAGACGTCATGATGGGCGTGGCCTACCCGACAGGTATGAACCAAAAACCCCGCCCCCTCGTGTCAAAGAGATGGCGGATGGTTAAACTGCTTTATTTATGTGTTAATTTTTTCATTTTATTTATTATATATATATATATATATATATATATATATATATATATATATATATATATATATATATATATATATATATATATATATATATATATATATATAGGCTATATACTTTTTTTTTTATAATAAAAAAAATAAAATAAACTTCTTTATTTTTTTGCTCTTTTTTTTGACTAACACTGGCAGAGTTTTGAAATATATTTTCTATGTTATGCTGCCCTAAAACCTGGAGAAAATATTACCTATCAAGTACGAAAAAAATAAAATAAAACCAACCATTACTCAGAGGAAAAGGTAGGTGCTGGCCTCATGGGCGGTTGTTTCTGGTCCCTGTTATGGCCCCTGTGTACTTAAGACATATTACTAAAATAAATTCTAATGATGATATAATAAAGCAACCTGTTTTGGCATTTACTTAATCATTTTTAGTTACTTTAACACAATTGTTTCATGTTAGCAGGGTAGGACATAGGTTTCTGATAGGTCCTTTAATTGGATCTATTTCATTTTTTTCATCTTAAAAGGATTCTGTTTTACTAATTATCTAAAAACAAAAAGGTGACAGCTTCAGTGGTATTGAGATAGGATCACAATTTTCATCTGCTAAATGTTTAAAAAAAAAATACTCTAAGTTTTACAGCTGAATTTATCCGTTTTTCTTGAGCTCTGATTCTGATTTTTATAGAAAATGATAATTTTAACTTAAATGAAGTTAAAATACGTAAAATTCCTAAATTATGAATGAATATTGACCAAATATTTTAAATAATAGCTTTGTTTGATCTTTTAGATATTTATATAGCTACAATATTTTGAGTTGCTTTTTTGCTATGCTAAGGGATTTTAAGGATAATCCAAATGAACATTTTCAAGCCAAAAATAAATATTTTTAAGTTGGAATACATATAATTTTAATTAAACCTAATTGAATGGAAATTTGACTTTATGCAGCTCTCTTAATATATTTGAATCCCCTGCCCTGTTTTGTTTGTTTCATGCTTTTGTCTGCCCTTAACTCCCTGGAACATTACGTCAAGAACCGCCACTGGTATTCCTATGTGTGGGAAAAGTAATGAAAGAATGTTGCACTTTTAAGCACACAGCATCAGTATTTTGACACATAGTGTAAATATTAAATCCCTAAAAAATGTAACAGTTAATAGTTTCAACTGAGGAAGGAAGTCAGTGTACCCAAAAAGAACAACACGCACACATAAGAACATTTGGAAAGACCTGGGGAAGAAAATCAAGGATATTATTACTAAAATGCAATAAAAATACAATATATACTGTTATGCAGTTCCATGAGTAATGTAGTCACCTCCACCAGGAACTGAACTGAAATCCTACTAGCATTCACTGCTCCAGAGGTTCTCAAACTTTTTGGTTTCTGGCTCACAAGAGGAGACTCATGACCTAACCTATTGGCTGAGTACAAAAACACTTCTATAATAAAATTTACTCTGGTGCAATAACATCCAAAATGCAACAAACCAAGCAGTCGTGTTTGACAGTTATTTTATACAAATGTTTATTGTATATTTTAATTTCTGTAAAGGATCTATTGACCTCATATTGGTTGAATAAGGACTTTAATTGGGGTCATTATCCCAGACCACTGGATAAGAATGAAATGAATATTTAGAAATGGTTTTGTAAATAAATGTATGAACTGCATTTATTTGTCTCTTAACATTCTCCATCAAATTTACCATTTGTATGTTGGTTTGTTTGTTTATAGATGTTGGAGATCGGCCTGTTTTTCAGTGAAGTCCTGTTTCTCTGACTGTGACTGGCTGGATGTGCTCTCCTCGTCCTCCTGTGTGTTTCCTGGATGGGTCACCTTTTACAGCTGCTTTTTGTTTCTCTGCTTCTGTCTCCTTGAACTCCAGTCGGCCTCAGCAGATGGCCGCTCACACTGAGCCTGGTTCTGCTGGAGGTTTCATCTAGAGGTGGGCGATACCGGGATTTTTTAATCGATCCGATACCAAGTAAATACTGGGTCAGTATCGCCGATATCGATACCGATACCGATACTTTTTACATTTAAGCTGCACTTGCCTGTTGCTTTTTTTCTATAAAGTTCTCAATCGTGGAATAAATAAGAGATTATCTAATGTTAGCTTATTTTAGCTAACAATTTTTAATGGGATAAATGTACTGGGTTTTTTCAAGGTCTTAACTACACTTTCTGAGTAATATATGATGTATAATGAAGTGCTGCAGACGATGACCACTGTTATCTACCTGGATATTCTCTGGAGGACTGAAACGCTTGGGTCAAAGATGTCTGTCTGAGGCTGGAGGCGGGTCTTTGGTCTCTCTCTCCATCCAAGTCTGAGTGAGCACTCACCCAGCAACCGGCAGCGCGGTTGTCTGTGTGACGTAGTGCTGAGTGGGCAGGCCAAGCTAAGCCTGCGCGCTGATTGGCTGGCGCCGCTGAGCCATGTGACTGTAGGAGAGGGGAGGGGGAGCAAAGTGCTGTTACACATATGGGGAAACTGGTGACTCCGCAGCAGTCAGCGCGCGCGAGAGAGGATAAAAAGTATCGATCTTGTTAAACGAATATTGTTCAATATAAATACCAGCGTTGGTATCGATAGTATCGATCCTGGGATCGATCCGCCCACCTCTAGTTTCATCCTGTTAAAAGGGAGTTTTTCCTCTCCACTGTCGCTACAAGCATGCTTAATGTGAGGGATTTCCTTCTAGTCAATGAGTTGATGCAATCAACTGGTTTTCCTTAGATGGAAAAATTTTAATCAATTTCACTGTATGATCTGATGAACTGTAAAGTGCCTTTAGATGATGTGTTGTGAATTGGCGCTATATAAATAAACTGAATTGAATAGTTAGCATAAATAATTTGATTAATTTCCTGGTCAAAAAAACTACAATACCTTAAATTGTTAAACATTCATGAAGGTAAATATATATAATTCTGTTCATATTATTGGGTATGTCTAAAAATAAGCTCTACCTTCCATGTTTATAAAAACAAATATCTAAGCACATTGGCCTTTGTCTCCCCTTAGCGGTTTAACATTAACAGAAACCGGTGAGCTTTTATTGTTCGGTTTTTGTCAAGTTTAACTGGCCCTCCTGCTCATTGAACAAAGAAAACGTTTCGGTCTGTGGCGTTAACAGAAAAAACACAAACATTCACGCATCTGTAATTCATCTTTGCCTAATTGAACTTCTGATTTATTTTTTTGTTCGTTTAATTGTTTTAATATTAGAAATGTTACATTTGTCATCATTTCTGGAGTAAAAATTAAATATGGATTCAGCATTATTATTTAGGAAGCCGTGAAAATCATGCAGTCCCAGAAATAAAGAAATGTATATTGATAAATATGCTGACAAGTAGCTATCTCAGGGTCTTATGTGGTACCAGAAGGCCTCATTAAAAACTACTGTAGAGTTCTTCAGCCATTTCAATGTCATTTTCACAATGTCATTAAGGAACATCAGAAATTCAAAAGAAAAATCCTTTAAACTAATTTAAATGTGTGTCTTGTTTGTTGTTCTTACTTTTTATGCCTAACATGGAGCATCAGAGTTTAAGATAAGTTAGGAATTCTTTTGGACCTTTTGTATTTGGGTTATTTTTATATAAACTGTTCCAGTTGTTGACTAAGGTTCCTCATCTCAACGTCATCGGCAAAACTAGCAAATCTAGAACAACTGTAGGGAACCTACATTGGACAATCTGAAGCAATTATTGTCACTTTGTAAACCAGGACAGTTTTAATCATCTTTTATACACAGGCATCATGCAGAAGTTTGGTTGATATGAAAAAAAAAGACAGTGTTCATTGAGTTTGGATCAAATCATGTTTATTAATGTGTTCAGGAAATCCCCACGGAAACAGTTTACAGGGGAACTTACAGATTTACAATCATCCTTGACAGAAGTGCCAGCTTTTACCCCCATGGTTCAACACTGAGGTGGCCTGCTGAGTCTCAGCACCAGGTAACTGCACACAGATTCCCCTCGACAGGTCTACCACCAAGTCCGTACTTCTCTCTGACAACAGGAGGAGGAGGACTGGTGTACTCCTCCATTTTAAAGTACGCAGCAATATAACTGAGGAGTACCGGCCTTTAGACACCCAGATATTCCAGCCATTTTTCCCTTTCTTCTCGTCTAGACCGTTCACAGTTAAAGAGCCTTCATTTTTTTTTTTTTTTTTTGGTGCCAATCCTTCATCCCGAGAATGAAAAAAAATCAAAACAGCTGGATGCTTACAGGTTTCAAAGTAAAACTGTCAACCGTTGGCGAAAAAAAGGAAAATAGAAATATCAGCTCAGGCCCTCAGAGATGCTCTCAGTATGCCCATGTTCAGGATTTGTCATGCTGCTCAAATGCTTTTGGTTCAGCAGTCATTTTACAATAGAAATGCTAAAACTATGACAGGAAAATAAACATGTAACATCTCTTGAAAGGAGAATAATGTGAAGCTCTTGTTTTCAGGCAAAAATATGACAAGAGTGGGAACACCGTCAGAATGATTCAAACTCAAAAATCCAATTTATACCAGGAGAACTAAAGGAGGGCTAGCAAGGACGCTAAAAAGCATGAAGGCTGCACACGAAAACAAGTTTTTATTTCACTTTAAAGATCGCTGGCCTGTCCTGTGCTTCGGGGAGGAGTTAGTGTCCATGGAGAGCCATCAATAATAAGAATAATCTGCTTTATTTCCAATATAATAATGAAACAAACAGCATGATTTTCAAATGACACTAGAATGACCGAGGATGAACTGCCTTTTTTTTTGTGTTTTAACACTTTTTTTGATTTGCTTCGACCTGATACAGGTTAAGATGCAATTTACTGAATCTCTTATAGGTGGGTTTTCAAATCAAGGAGGTTAAAATGAAACATTTAGCATTTAATCTACACTGGCTGAGCACTTCACTTAACAGATCAGACTAAAAGGAGGAGGGGGAGAGCTTACACCCTTGCTCTTTCTTAGCCGTATGAAAACCATGCTTCCTCTGCAGACTTGGGGTGGGGAGATGGGAGGGGGCCGTGCAAGACAGAGTGGGGGGATTAGGCGGTGGGTGGAGAGGGTCTTGAAAACCGGACTGCTGATTCCACAGGAGGTGTGTAAAAGGCACGCCAGGGTTACTCCCAATCCCAGCCGTCACACACACACGTAGTTTCACGCCCTCACGCACACTCACGCTTGCTGAACACACACGCATTCACCCTTATACTCGCACACAACCCACACACAGACACAAGCAGCACAGGCTCGAGCCCCAAGAGTACAGACCAAGAGGAGAAAGCAGGAAGGAAGTTCTCGAAAGAAAGAGCTGGGTCTGGGAACTGGGGGGAGAGAGATGGTGCAGAGGGGCCGGGATCCGGTGCTGCAGCGGTGTCGGAACAGAAAATAAAATAAACCACAAACAGGAAAAAAAATAATAAACCAAAGAAAAAACAAAACAAAAACAGTTGGAATGGATCATTTCTGGTTTTTCAGCTGGTTGGAGAGCCAGTCCAGGCCCTCGTAGAGGCCGTCTCCGCTGGTGGCGCAGGTGGCCTGGATGTACCAGCTGCGCTGACGGAGAGCATGGAGGCCCAGCTTGTCTGTGATCTCTGCAGCGTTCATGGCGTTGGGCAGATCCTGGAGAAGGGGACACACACAGTGATGAATATGGCTGCTCATACTGCTAGAAAACACACTGACTGGGAACAGTTTTAACCCTCATGATGAATAAATAACTCTTAGGAAGCTTCTTCCACATAACTTCATAACTACTGTAACCATCTATGAGATCTGATCAGTCTACTTAAAGAGGGATGTAGTCAGCAATTTAAAAAATGTTTTCAAAACTATTTTATGGCTTTAAATTGTGCCTTTGATTCATTATGAATTTGTGAAGAAGTAGAAATCTGCTCATCTATTTTTTTTTAAATCACAAAGTTCAAGTGACATGAAAATGTATCAAAAAGTGACTCCACCTGTTTATTTGCAAAAACCAGCAGCACAGCGTCTCTCAGTTCGTCCTCGGCGAGCATTCTGGACAGCTCCTCCCTTGCCTCGTTCACCCTCTCCCTGTCGTTGCTGTCCACCACAAAAATAAGCCCTGCAGAGACAGAAGACATTTATCTGAGCAAAGCCACACGAAACATTAGCCAAACTCTGATTTGCATTTTCCCTTCATTTCCTCACTGCACACCATTTACTTAACCCCAGCTGGTAATAACTCAGATATTAACCCGAATTATCTGTGACATAGTTAGGAACCTGAAATGTAAACAGACTTGCTGCTTATTAAGCTGTGTAGGTAACAAAAAACTGTCAGTCTGAACAGGGGGCTGAAAGATTTTGACAAAAAAATAATAAATAAATAAAACCAATATTGTAATTTCATTTCGATTTCCTATCCACAAGCATGTAGATGTTTCACTCCAGGGTTTCAGGTTTTCCTTGACTTTGAAAGCTTGCCTGTCCAGAGTCCACCGTTGCAGGACTTTACTGTAACCTTTGTTTGGAAAAGAGCTTATTTGTCTTTGCATGCATAGATCTACATGCTAACTAGAACTTTAAGCATATTATCGCCACCTAAAGGACTGGAGTGAGAAAAAACAATCTTAGTCTTGTTAAATGTAATGTGACTAATATTCTGCAATTTGAAAAATGTCTTTTGTTAAATTGCGATTAAATTACAAATGCAATTTGCCCAACACAAGTCTGAACCCGAACTGGCCTAAAAATTGTTGAGACTTTTAATGTAGCATTAAAAAAAATAAAATCTGCTCTTAGATCAGTAAAAAACAAACATACAGGTGAAGCAGTTTTCTACTCCACTGTTCTGGTTACTGGAAACATATTTAGGGAGTAAAAACTATTTAGGCTTAATACAACTAAAAACCAACATTTAACATTATACATAGATGATAGATAGATAAAAGTCTGGTTTAATTCAGAGCAGAGTAAGGGAAATTCAACTTGATATAAAATAAAGAACAATGTAAATATAAGCAAAATAATGCCTACACTGACCAACACAGCATCAACTGACACTAATTAAAAAAAAACATACATGTATTTTTTCTTTTACACCATCCTTATTCAGCACATTCCTTGAATTTTCAAAGATACAGGATAAAACTCTGAGATCAGAGGCAGACGTTTGACATGCAGCAAGTTCATTCACAGAGACAGCTTCTAATCTGAGGACATCAGAAGGTAATTCAGTGCGTAACCAATGCTGTGCTAACCGTCATATTGATATTTTAGTTGCAAACATCACATCACACATGGGGGTTCCCATCTTTTCAAAACCAGACAATGAGTCCACTCACTTCTAAGAGCTGGTGCTTAGTCTATACCTGCAGAGCTAAATCCCCCTCAAAAGCGAGTATTTCAGTAGTCCGTTAACCACAGCGAGGACTAACCTGCTCCATCGCTTCAGTTTAAAATCAAGTATTACTTTTTGGCTGCTAAACTGATAATTAGAAAGCATCAAGATGACCAAACTGATCTGACAAGTAGCTGTGAATAAACTAAAACCCTGTTCGCTGGCTAATGTTAGCCTAAACTATAGAAAACCCAGAAAATCAACAAGAACCAAACAAGACAGCAACAACAGTCTAAAGTTCCCTGCCATTATTCTGACTAATTAGAGTTCAGGAAGGGAGGAGTCACACAATACATCCTTTGAGAGTGGAACAATGCTGCGTGAGTCACTGCTTCGCTTGCTTTAGGATCATCTCCTCTGCCTTTAGGCAGCAGTGACCAGTGCCTGCTCTGACAGAAGTCCTCACCTTGAGTGTTCTGGAAGTAGTGGCGCCACAGCGGCCTGATTTTGTCCTGACCGCCAACATCCCACACCGTAAAGCTGATGTTCTTGTATTCTACTGTTTCAACATTAAAACCTGCAAAGAGGAGGGAAAAAAAGCACCAATGAGTCACTGACGGAAAGCTCTGTGTAAAGTGTTAAAGTGAGAATAAACATGTTGCATAAAGATTAAAATCCACCTGCAAACAATTTAACACTTCTGAAACTGACAAAAGAACTAAACAACTTTTTTAAAAACAAGTTAACTTGAGCTGGTTAACTGATGTCTGGTTTCAAACATCTTAGGTTATTTTCACTTCTTAATATTACAAACACGGTTTAAAAAAAAATGTAAATTGAAAAACACTTCCTTTTTTAGATCCGTTATCAACTTTGTGTGATGTGGCATACAGATACACACTGTATCAACCAGATAAAATGTGATAAGAACATTTGTCTTTTGATAAAACGACACATACCAATAGTGGGAATGGTGGTGACTATCTCTCCGAGCTTCAGTTTATATAGGATTGTTGTTTTTCCAGCAGCATCGAGGCCGACCATTAAAATTCTCATCTCCTTTTTGCCAAACAGGCCCTTGAACAAGCTTGCAAATACATTCCCCATGGTGGCAAAGCTGTAAAAGAAGAAAGGAAAGCGGTTAGGAGGGTTACATCGTTAGGATCCTACCGTTTTCTCTAGCATTCATCAATTAGAAAAGAAGTGATCTCTAATTAGAAAAAGTATTCAGGAAAACAGTGAGAGTCAATTCTGTCCCACAAAGAGGAAATAATGCAAGACAAAAAATATATAGAATTGCTTAAAGTACTTCTGTTAGGGCAGAAACAATAAGCTTGGGGAACCACATTTCCACTTCTTTTTAAAACTATACTACTAAACCTTATACTAAACTATATGAGGTGGCCATCTTGGGAAAAAAAAAAAAAATTGGAAACGTATAACAACAAAACATAATTATTTGATTATTCAACTTCATAATCCATCTTAAACATCTAACCGTCATGAATATCAAGTTAGAATGCAGCAGTTAAGTAGAGTACACAGTTTATGGGAACACCATGTACAAAATTGCCCTGGATCCCCATTTCTGCCAGAAAATTTAACAGTTATTTACTAACACAAACAAGTTTAGCACCTAAACATCATCTCATTCCAAACATATCTGTATCAGAAAAGGTCCATCACAACAACACCTTTACTTTGGGGAAAAAAAAATCAACATTCAACACCAAGGTTTCCATTTAGAGAACAATTCTAACACCTTCTTGAAATCAGGAAAACTCCTTTTAAGTTTGGAGAGTTTATAAAGTTTTAGTAGAAATCAGAATCAGACATACTTTAATAATCCCAGAGGGAAATTACTTATGGGTTGAAAACATTTATTCTTCATAATAAACAATTTATTCTAAAAAAAAAAAAAAAAAAAAAAAAATGAAAGCAGATTGAACATATCTATCTTAATAAACAGATATAAGTCTCTATAACTCTATCAGAACCTAATACAAAATATTGTTATACCTACTGAACATTTAGTTTCAGCAGCAAATCAAAGAAGCTCTACATGAACATTTTCACCTTACCAAAAAGGATGCTTGACATTTTCTATTGAAACACCTTTTAAAAAGTTATATTATTTTTACTTAGAGATTTTGCACTGATTAATATTTAAATTAAGACCAGGAAGAAAAGAAAAAAAAACACTCGAACTTCCTGATTTTTTTTTTTATGAATTAGTTTCTGAAATTTAATGGGGAAAAAAGGCACTAATACATGTATCAATTTCCTTCATCCCAATAAAGTTAAGATTTAAAATATAAGCTAATACCCATTTGCTTACTATGGTTGCAATTATTCTGTATAACCTATGTATAATGATTTTGAATCATAGGTTATTTTGAAAGAAAAACCTTAAAGACTTTGGTAACATCGGAAAGAGAAAGGATTTTATTCAAGAAGGATCAAACAAAGATTTAGACTATTACGCTCTCTAAAACATTTTGTTCCGTTTAAACGAGACGTCGTTTCACGCACTGTTGACATTTAGAGACAATCAACAATTTTAGGACATTTGCTAGGTTCTGATTCTTCTACCGGATGTTTATCCATCTTTCATGTGACACGAACACACAGCTATATGTCCCTTTGAAACAGAAAGGGGAACGTGAGAGAAACTAAGACTGATTTCATAGGCCGCTACTCTGATCCAGCTTTCGTTCACCCGGATAAGCTTCGAAGCTAACAAGCTAGTTGATAAGATAGGCCCGCTCCGACTGTTAAACTCGGCAATGGTTATACATATATAGAGAAAAATTGCTCTCGGTTATTTGGTAATAGCGCGGCCTAAAACCCAAACAAGTGTTTTAGGATGACAGGGTGTTAAAGTATACAAAAAAAGACATTTATCAAAAGTAAACGACAGGTAGCTTTAGCAACGTTAGCTTCCATAAGGGCGGATGCATTGGCTTACTGTTAACTAGATTCGGTAACAGTTTTAAAGGCAGCGCTGTCGGAAGAAAACCAACACATTACCGAGATTTCCAACACTTGGTCTGAAATCGGAGTTGCAATCAAAGCCAAGGTCGGTAAAGGGATCCCACTGTAGCTGTTTTCAGGTGGGCCGTGACAGGAACTGCCGTAGCGCGCGGCGGCTAACTGCCCTTAGCGAACTGCCGCGTCACTGTTCACAGAAAACAGTGACGTCACTCAAAAAGCCTCTCAAATCGACTAATTCCAACATAAACATATAAAACACACACAAAGCGACATTTGAGTACAAAAAGATTGTCTCTACTCTATATATTACCTTTAGAGAGACAGCAACCCGATCTTTGCGTTATCTTTCTCTGCCACTCCAAAATGGCGTCTTGCGCAACCAGGGAGACACCGGCGTACTTCCCAGTTTGAAGCCACGTCCAATCACAACACAGATAGTGTAACTGATAACCCGCCCTGGTTCTCTATCGGTCCAATCAGGGCGACGACACGATCGTATGCGCACGGTGCACAAAATGTCGAGGAAGTGATGTAAGTAGGGCAAACCAATTTAATACACAATGCTATACGGGATCTTTGGTTTCATTAATTCAGAGAATAATATCTGTTACAAAAAAAAACAACAACAACAAAAAACAGCATTCAGGGTAAGAAAAATAGGATATAGAATAATATTATGAATTTGTTGATGATAAAATCCTAATAATATTTTCCTGTCTAAATGTCATGGGAAAAAATTTTAACTTAGTCGAAATAACTTTTGTAATTTTTTTTCTTTTTTTTTCTTTTATTTGACATATATTTATCTTTTTGTATTTGTCAAATTCAGCTTAGATTTTGATCAATATGGCTACATCTGTCTGGGTTGTTCTTAAGTATATCTGACTGACTTTTACTAGAGTAAAATAATTCAGTCGACATCAGAAAATTGATAGGTTTTGGTTAAAAAATTGATAACGAAAAGGAATTATATTTGATGTCATTAACACAGTTCTAAATAGCAAAAAAAAAAAAAAAGAAAAAAAAAGTTAAATGGAATTTATTGCTAAACCTACAGCCTTAATTGCGCGATAAAAGTACTAAGGAAAACCATTATTGGACATTGCCAAAATGCTAACTGTAGGGGAAAAAAAGAACTTCTGTTTCTTCTAGCCAGGAAAAGCTGAGTCTTAATAAATGTCTATACACATCCAGCCTGACCTTTGGAATATCAAATAAAATAAAGCTGTATATATCATGTTGGCCCGATAGTTATTTGAAATATTTCTTATTTCCCTTTTTCCATTATTAAAAGCAGTAATGAGTCATGTGTGGTTTGATTTTTTGTTACAACAATCTGCCATACTTGGCCTAACAAGCCATTCCAGTTTTAGGATAGGCACTCCTAAAAGTTGATGATCTAATAGGCCACATTTCCAATTTGACGCTGTACTTCCTGCTGCTCATAGCATGTGGTTTCTGAGAAAGCCTCTGCGAACATCTGCAAATATTTTTGACATTACAAAACCAGCACATACAGCTATGCATGCTGAGTTTTTTTAAATTGACAGCCCCAATAGGGAATAGTACTTCTCTGACAACACAGTTAATATTTACTTTAAACTAAAGAGTTTAGGTCAAGGTGAAACAATGACTGCCAATTTAATTCTCAAATATCAGAAACATTTAAGAGATGTTGACAGAAAATACCATACAGAGATAAAAGACCCAGCTGTTTTACAAATGTACTTAAAGGTCACAAGGGTCAGTTAGAGGGCCCTACATGAACCTGAACAGTGACAACACAGACTAAGAGGGGAAATAATGTCCACACAAAATACTAAAGACGAAACACGTGGAAAATGGATAACAAATTGTCATCCCCAAGGTAACTTTAAACAATGGATATATGTATTTTAATTAAGTAATAACAATTATTCAACAGACAGTACAATAATTCCTTGTTACACAATCAGAAGCACAAGGGGCAACAAGAATGAACAGACTATGCCTATTTACAGTCAACAAAAGATGCTAAAGGACCACACTACAACCCCCCCCCCCCCACACACACACACACACACACACACACACACACACACACACACACACACACACACACACACACACACACACACACACACACACACACACACACACACACACACACACACACACACACACACACTCTGGGAGGAGGATCCTTAATTCTAATCATTTATCATGAAACATGTGACAAGCCACATGATCTCATGTGAATCCTGGGAGTCTGAAAGCCCTGCTTCTTTGGAAGAGCTGTAAACATTTACAATGTGCTATAGATGCAGATGTTTGAGCTCTATTTTAAGCCCTGGTCAGGTGGAACTAACAAGAAAGCATCTAAAGAAAAAGAGAGAGAAATGTTTCAGCTTTGGAGACCGAAGGAACAGAGAAAACAAAGTAGTTCATGCCCAAGGGTTAAAGGGGGAAAAAAACATGAAAGCTTGGGTTTTTAAAACAGCTGGGAGGATTCATGTAGCAGCCGGGGACTAGTTTCTAGATAAAGAATTAAAGTAGGAAAATCTTATAAACTAATAACCAAAGTGTGCAGAGAGGGTCGCAACTCACCGTACTGCTATTTATTCACAGTTTACAAGCAATTTGACATGGCTATAATTAGCCAAAAAGTAAGGTTTGCAGATAAAAAAAATACAAGAAGTCGGAAACAATAATCTGGCATAATTTTCATGAGAAAATTATTGTTATTGTCAAAGAAACACACTCAGAAATATTAAAGCAGGAGGAAAATTAACATAACTGGGGGAAACAGACAAAAATAGACAAACGATCTATAGAAAATCTACTGTTATTTTATCAATAAATCACATTTATTAATATACCTCATATCATTATGTAAAATATGCATTTTTTCTTAAATAAATTTCTAATGTCTGAAAACAGATAGAAATACAAACCAGGCATCCATGAATAAAACATTGCAATGTATGACAGAGTATAATCGTTAACAGAACAAACTTTAATAAATGAAAAACATATATATATATATATATATATATATATATATATATATATATATATATATATATATATATATATATATATATATATATTTTTTTATATATGTTTTCATTTCTCTCTGTTCTTCAGAAGGTGGTCTGAATGTTTGTGTAGTTTTCCTAAAAACAGCCAAAGTCCTTGATATGAAACACAACAACCTCTTGAGTTCAGTCAAAATGGTGCAGAACAGATATAGCAACAGTTCTGCTGAGGCTGTAGTGCCTCTGAGGGATGATCAGAACGCACAAATGATCCAACATATATGCAGCAACACACAAATCCCTGCTTGGGTTTATTTAAAGCTGGGCACAGCTGGGTACTGAGGTGTGAAAACACAATGCCTGGCCTGATGGATGTCTGCTGAGTTTGCAGAAATGTGTTTAAAGAGCGAGAATCCTCCACACTGGTCTGTGGCAACAGTCCAGCCCTGCTGCAGCAGAAAGTTTTCTTTTTTTAAATTGCAACAGTATTACCTTTTTTTAATTTTTTACCACACTCCAGCGAGAGTTGACCCATCATGCTGGACTTGCAGCAGAACCTTATGGGTGCTTGCTGTACATCAGCAGCCTCCACGCTGTGAGAATATCAAAATCAAGATGTCCTGAGGTCCCAGCTCAGATTATTTCAAGCTCTGAGGGTTTTAAGATCTCATGCTGTGTTTTGGAACAAAATTGACCCAGTTGAGCAATAAATGTCTCATTCTCTGAGCTCCAGCTTCCCATCTTGGACTCTCCAGCTCCAGCGCTGACATCTGTCAGAAGCAGGAACACAGCGGAACCATGATCCTGACTCAGTGATTTCCTTCTCAAAGGAAACCGTCTTTCTGTCCAGAGTCTCCAATGTAAAAGTCTTCCCTGAGATCTGAGAGACACATGGGATTAAGATCAGCTGGGTTTCAAATGTCAACAAGCTGAATTATATATTGTCCTGTAAGCATCTTATAGTCACGGTAAAATTAACCAAACCCCATTAAAAAATAGGATTATAGGCAGAATTTAGCATTGTTTAAGTGACAATAAATTTACTGCAATTAAAGGTTCATGTCTGAATTCCATGATGTGCACCACTACTGACTCAGAACTACAGGAAAACTCAGCACACTATAAAAGAGTAAGCCAAAGAGCTTTTAAGGTTCTGCTTCATATAGCGGTTTTTCATAAACAAACTCGTCAGGCCTAGGATCATTTATTTTTCAACTATAAGAAAATCCAGCAGTAAAATAAATAATCTTTTGCATGCAGACATACATGCATACATTCACCAACCCATCCTGTGAAATTGTAAGAAATGATTTTGTCCTCAGATCTGTCAGCACCAGTTTGCTGGTATTGTCATTTGACACAGTGATAACGAATAACACAAATTAACAAGAAAATGTATAAAGAAGCATCGGTGTGGAAAAAAAGGCCTACAACTGAAGAATGCAGCGCTGCAACAATAGAAGTCTGGTTTTCAAAAAGAACAGAAAAAAAGGAGAGATGGAGAAAGACTTTCAATACGTGGCCCAGTTTTCTGAGAGAGGTTTGTTACCCGAGTAGTTTAAATTAACAGTAAATTATTAACCTGTTCGGTAAAACAAGGTAGCTGTTTGCTCGCTACAAATACTTAGTTAATCCCCCTTAAAGGAATAGTACACCCAAAACATGATTAGCCTTCATTTTCTACTCACCTCCATGCTGAACAACACTCTGGAGTACTTTTTTGATATCTCAAATGCATCTGGAGATCTGGGAGGCTTCTTGCTGTCTGCTGACATTCAAATAATGGAGGTCTGTGGCGCCCGAGACAGAAAGGTCCATAAAAGTCCACAAAAACGTGTCAATATTCCTCCATACTGCTCGTCCAATGTAATCCAAGTGTCCTGAGTGGGTAGCATCCAGAATTTACTCGAAACGAAGTCATTTAGAATGTTTTTAGAGCATAAACAGTAGTGTATAGGATTTCCTAATAGCGCCCCCATGCGCGCTCACGATTCTACGGAAGCCGGCAGACCAAACCGGAAGAAAGTGCGCATTCAGCGTCTGGTCTGCCGATAATGCAAGCGTAGAAGAAGAAATGTGCTGTTTACCTGTGCAAAGAAAGAAACAACGAAAGAAAAATGTCTGAGGACTTCAGTGTTGAGGAAGAGCATGAGTTCTTTGCCGAGCTGAATGCGCTGGTTTGGTCTGCCGGCTTCCGTAGAATCGTGAGCGCGCATGGGGGCGCTATTAGGAAATCCTATACACTACTGTTTAGGCTCTAAAAACATTCTAAATGACTTCGTTTCGAGTAAATTCTGGATGCTACCCACTCAGGACACTTGGATTACATTGGACGAGCAGTATGGAGGAATATTGACAAGTTTTTGTGGACTTTTGT